TTTGGGTTTACATTACATTCTACTCTACCTCAGCAAATCGCGTTATGGTTAAAATTTAAAATGCACTAGTTTAAATAGTAATTAAAAAAAATATAACCCCGACATTTTTATTTTCACCTCAAAACAAGTCAAAGTCAATATACTCGAGAGTCAAGTTACCAAAGCGTAGCTTCTTGAAAAAGAACTTTACAAAGCGCTGTCTACGTACAGCGGCGATACCATATTATATCCTAAAATAAATAATTTATCTGAAAGATCTCGAGAAAAAGGTACTATATAAAGAAATCACAAAGGGTCTTCACTTCTGAACAGGATACTGTTCCAATACTTAAGGACATGGATATTTGCTATCCAATACTTGACAATTGAATTTCTTCCTGTATTTTTAATTCAATTTTTTTTTATATATGTAGAGCATTACGTAATAAAAATACCAAATTTTAAACATAATTAGAACTACATATAATGAATCAACAAACAATAAAAAATAATGAATAATAGATATTACTAAGATTTGTCAGTTTTCAAAAACCAGTTTTAAAACCGGTTTTAGTAGAAAATACCGGTTTTCAATACCAAATGCACTGGCTTGATGCAAATCGAGAGCTGTCCTTAGTTTCACTATCATAGAAATATTTACACCCTCGTATGTAAAAATTTGGCATGAACAACGGGTAATTAAATGTTTTTAAAATTATTTAATCCTATTCAATTTTTTTTTGTTTCACTAAATTGCATAAAAAATATCAATAATTTGAATAACAAATAATTTTAGTCTAGAACTGCTTTTAATCACTCGAAATTCTCTGTTTTGTTCGAATAATTCGAGCAAATAGTTTTTGTATGAAAACTCGAAACCGGTTTCGGGGAAAATACTATTCGAAAACCGATTTCCGGAAAAATACTATTCGAAAATCGGTTTCAAAAGATGTCGATTTTTGTTTGGACCCAAAAATTAATAATAAAATTATCATCATCAATAATCATCTATCATAATCATGGTTCGTTCAATGCTATATGAATTTGCAAGCATATTTAATTCAATTAGCATCGAAACCAATTAAATTAATTATTAACCATACGCTATAAATTGTTTATTGACTATACGCTATAAATTATTTATTAACTATACGTTATAAATTATTAAGGATACATTTTTATCAGTTGATTTTTTATTAGCCTTCGCTCATTACTAATCATAACCTGAATATTTATCTTTATAAGTTAATTTTTATTTTCAGTCGACCAGTTGAGCTCAACTTAAAACGATAGAAAATCTACTGGTCAAAACGTATGATTATTAATTTGTGGCCACAAATTTGTAGTAAATATTACCTCAAATACATAATCAAAGACCACATATTATATTTACCACAATTCGGTATAATACATTTTGATAGATTATCAGATTCACTAAACCTGCAGTTTGTGGTTATGTGGTAAGAAAAGGAGGCCACGTAGCACTACGAGTGCTACGATTTTGACGGTCGCTCCGACAACCGCGTTTCATAGAGACAATCAATATACAAAAGTCTTTTTTAACCATTAATCTCTACAAATAATAAAATTTATAACAACAATTTTTAGAAACCATAGAATAGTTTCATACTTGATGCAAAATTTGATAATGAATATTATTGAATATATAATAGGGGAGATAGAGGTTTGAAATTAAATGCAGCTTATCAATATTCGTCATGTATATTTTCATTAAAATGTGTAATGTACACATAAAAAGGTGTTGATCTGATATTTAAAAAAATCTATGCTAAGATATATCAATGAACAAAAAACGTTAATCTAATACATCATATGAATATATATAAATGAAATATATGTATACATATATCCATTACCCCGGATTTGTGCTTTTCAAATACAGGACTTAACTCCTACTCGTCTTAAAGCCAATCATTTACGTAACAGTCTCGAATGATTTGATATTATATAACAGTAAGGGCGTAGCAACAGTAATCCTATTATAATTCTAATCGAGTTAACAATGAAATGGCACACTGTTCCATCAATGATAATGCAAAGTACTCGACAAAAAATGCACTTCGATTAATGATCCATGAAGAGCTTGAGTATGAACAGCGTAGAATAACTTCAGAATTTTTTAACACTTGAAATGCTGGTGAAGCCCCAACTTTCAATTGAATTAGTCATAGCACAGTGAATTAACGAGACTACATTATATATATATATATATATATATATATATATATATATATATATAATATGTATGTATTACCGGCATATCAATTAAATGTTAACCGACAACTCTTGCCCTTTAAACCTAATCAATCCTATAACTATAACTAATAACAAACGTACGTATCCTTAACAAAAAATTAACAATCCGACTGACAATAATAATTTACTTGACGTAGAGACTCACGCTGGTGTCATCTATAGAGTATACTCTATTTTTCTTGGAAAAAATTATTTTATAAATTAGAACTCCGACTAGTCAACAATTTTAGCACAATGACAAAAAATTCTTTTAAAATCGATTGTCTTTCAATCGAAATCTGGTTTATTCAATTAATTGCTTAGATCGCAATTCAATTTACAATGGAGAAACAAGCCAAAATTCAATGAAACAACTATAATATGAAAACAATTTAAAAAATCGCAGACAATTCAAAACTATGCTTACCGAACACATTAAACCTTTAAAACATAATATAGTTTTTCCTAACGTGACTACATTCTAAGGAAAATTTATACAAAAGACGCATCTGTTAAGGATTTTTTTAAACCATTTATAACGATAGAATAATAAATAAACGCAATGAACCCAACATGCTGTGAGGCACAAATATCTTTTATGTAGATAGTCGAATTTAATAAGGTGGCAAATGAAGAATTCCGTCAGAATGTATTTTAATCTTTGGGTTATTTATGTTATGCAACACTTTATCAGATCTCTTGAATAAATTAAAATAAAAATAAAAAAAAATCGTAAAAGGCTATTTACACGCAGCATTTTAATATTTAACCACATATTTCACCATTTCGGAAGAACATCAATAAATTAGACATATCTAACACATTAAGGATTAAAATTAAAAATCATATCGATCTATGATATATCGCTTTTAGCATATCAGTATTAAATTATACATTCAAATTTAGTGCATCATTATGTTCCCAAAACTACAGCCAACTCATCGAATGTTAATTGAATTTCAATTGGCTTTCTGATCCCGGCGCAAAATCTACTGTTAACTATATTGCCTAAGTTTCGTTTAATCAATTGCATAAGTTTCATTTTCTATAATTTAATATTGAAACAAAGTTAACAAGTATTTATATCTATTGATCAGAATCAAATAAACGCGATTGCTGTAAAATAAAGAGCGTCGAAAACAATGTCGCCCATAGGAAAATAAATGTATTGGAAAAACACAATAAAATGTCCAGTAATTGACGTGTTCAGTACTCGATTGCTATATTAAATGTCGATGCGTTTTTGAAAAAAACCTGTATGCGGGCTTTTACAAAAAGAATCTAATTGAAACATTGTGTTAAATACACATACATGCAATTTAGATGTAAAATTGCATTTCAAAATATGAGAATATTGATATAAAGAGATTAGAATTCACAAATATCATGATATTTTAAAATCAACAAAAGTTGAAAAAATATTTTTCTTCAATACGAAGTGTAAAAACTTTTTTGGCATCATGCTTGCTGACCATCTCTAGTAAAACTGTAAATATTAAACATGAAGTAAATTAGTAAATGATTAGATGGGAACTGTTTAGGAAAATAAAGTAATTTATTCAGCCTCCATACTTATTATTATTTGTACAGCAACTGTCATATCAAGTAAGGGATTGGTAAAGTAGGCATATATCATGACTATTATGGAAATTTTAGCCTTTTTAGTAGAATGAAAGTAAATAAATTGAAGTCTAACTAAGAATACAATAATAAACAATGATCTGAAATTCCATAGGTATAAGACACGATGATTTATGTAAACAAATAATAGGTGTAAATGATATTATACCTAACATCACCATTGTCCAAACTATTATTGCCTTCGCTGTCCTGTACCATTGCCTATATGTTTAACCTTCATTGTCACTATCATTGCCGTCCCTATTATCACATTTTGAATATACAATTATATATATATATATATATATATATATATATATATATCAACCGTCATAAAAAAAATTAGAAAAAATGTTTATACCTCGTTAAAATCTCGTCGTCATCGGTATTTAAGAAAAACCTAGAAATTGTCCTAACGTAACACTTTTTTGGTTCGGTGAATAACTTTTATTATTTTTGTTCCTTTAAACTTTGGAATCGTAATTCTAAATAACATTTCTAGCACTTCTTTCACACCCAAAAAATAAATCAATTGACAGCTTGCCACAAGCATTCTAGAATTAAGACTATTTGTTGAACTATGAAGTTAAATTTTTTTAAATATGTCGATATCGAATTGCCCTCCATTGAAAAAATGCTCTAAAGAGCTTTGGTAGGAAGCATTAAAAATGCGCACTTTTAATCAAGATTGTTTTTGAAGTAAAACTTCTTTAGGCGCAACTAGGGAGCAAATCTGTGAAAATGCAACGGATGTTGCGTCACGCCCGATCTGTTCGTCATTCGTTCGCGATGAAATCATTTCTATACGGGTCGATTATGTTTAGTAGTCGTATCATTCGTTGTATGCGTACCGGCGTACATCAACGAGGAAATCTGAATGTCATTAGATTTTAAGGTTACATGGTAGTACAAATTATGATTTATTAGCATTAGATTGTATTAGTACCCACTAAAACTTCCGCCTTTCTCTTGTCTTTTATCCCCGTTAAGCATTACTTCAAGGGGGGAGGATCTAGATTGCTATGGTTCTCTCTTAGTATTGTAAATCTTTGGAGTTACAGCTTATATGCCGATAACTTAAAAATTAAGTTCCATGTTTAATATGAGAAAAAATCAATTTGTTGTATATAAATATTCTTTTTCAGGTGATGCACTTTTGTGCTACGCATGTAACAGCAGATACGACCCAAGATGTGCTGATCCGTTCAATCCGTACTCTCTAGGAATTATGAACTGCAGCATGATCGTACCTGCCGTACCTGATGTCAAGCACAATATTTGCAGGAAAATGACGCAAAAAAGTAATAAAATACATTTTAATAATAAATATATTAAATAGATGTATACTAATTAATATGTAATTATCTTATTTATGTTTGTCTTTCATTTAAATTGCTTTTTAATGAGTATATGAATTTTCTAAACATGCTTTGTGTACTTGAATCATTATCATATTTACACGGCGCGAAACCAGAATATACAAGTATTAGTAGAACTTTAACTGCAAAAGTTAACAAATGCTAATTGATATTGATACACATAACAGAAGCTAATTAGAGCTATTCTATTTGTTCTTATTAATACTAATTAGTTACCAATGAGACACTTTTAATTATTAAAAAATTTACACCAAAGCGTAACACCATTTTTATGTAAGCTTCCACCGTAATAATGTCACTTAATAAATTAAGAGTAACTTACGATTGCATCATTAAAAACAAAAGTATTCGATAATAGCGATCTAACTGTAAAGTTTTATTATTTTATATGCATATAAATTTTATTTGATCAGTAATAAATGTTAAGAGGTATATTAGGAAATTAAATACTCATATAAACTGATAAAATGATAAAACGTATGTTATAACAGACGTGGGTATTATCTTTTTTAAAATATGTAATGTAATGAGATATAAGATTTTCCAATTTCTTTTTGGAAATATCGCGCCATGACAATTTATTCGCATATATTTGATGCAAGTTCAGAATTTAATAATCAGGTAAAATGTGTCAAAACTTAATGTATCAAAAAGAATTGAGGAAAATTAAAAACATTCACCTTTTTAATTCTAGAAGGTGATGTAGTGGGTGTCTTAAAAAAATGACACCTAACCATACCCCTGATTTCAGCTCTCCAAATATCTTGAAAGAGATTATTATTTACTGCTTGAAAAAAAATTGCAACATTTTTTCATGTCCTCGATTTTTTTTAAAAATAGTTGAAATCGAAATTTGAGGAAAAGCGTAGGTTTTACTGAAGAAAAGTCTATCAAGAAGACTGTGTACAAATATCAAGTAAATAGTTCAGTAAAGGTAGTAAAAATAGTAAAAAGTTCAGTAAAAGTTGAGAAATCGTGGGTATCGTTTCGAAAAAGGCAGTTTCGAAAAAAACGCGCGTCGCAGAGGAAGGAAACAAAAGGATTATCATGGTTAACAGCTATATATCTTTGAAAATTTTTTAAATTTTGAAAAATCCTCTTTTTTTATTATCTCTTTTATTTACAACTGTCCAGTAAAGGACATTCAATACATTTGATGAAAAATCTTCTTGTACACATATTCTTGAATACTTATTTTCAAACATGTCAATTTTTTTTTAATTCTAGGCTCGAATTTTCCTAAAATTATCCTTTAGTCATGTGAGTCGTTATGGACAAAATTAGCTTTTTTTAAAAACATTCATGAGCCAATGCTGCCCTAAAACAGACCAATGTTATGGCAACGCTATGTTACGCTTTTTTTCATATAAATGGTACTAAAAACTGTCAAAATGCTATGTATTTACTTTGCAGTCAGAAGTTTTATATATGAAACCTAACTTCTCGCATGTGTTATTATAACATATCAGAAAGATGCACTTATGATAAGATACTTTTCTGGCGTTTGTGTGGTTTCTGGGTTAGGTTCTATATTCTAAAACGCCTGACTGCACAGCAAATACATACATTCATTTTATATGAAACTAGTGGGTACATGGCATGGTGCCTTAAGGCAAATTGCTGGAACTTCCCGTATCGTAATTAAAAGTCTTGGTACGGAACCCAAAAAAAATTAAACAAAATCTATACACATTATTAAAATCTCTATAAAAAAATATCTGAAAATTTAATGTGCATATGTTCAATAAACATTTTTGACCGCCAAATGACATTTTTTTTTAACTTATACTTAACAGCGGAGTCCATAACCGCTGTACCTGCCTTTCCAAAAATATAAGCACTTGTTCATCTTATCAATACAAGTAAAATGTTTTTTAAATTATTAGAATCGGATGCTCCGTTCTCTTAAAAACCGAGTTTTGGAACTTTTTGTCCCGTATCTTCGGAATGGCTAACCTGCCTTCGCCAAAAACTAATCAGCATGTCTCCTGATCAATACGAATCGAATGTTTTTTGAATTATTCAAATCGGTTGATCGGTGTTCCCGAAATCGTCGACGAAAAATTTGTATCCGCACACATACACACCACACACACACATCCATTTTTTGGAAGGTATGCCAAAATGTTCAAAAAACCTTTGAAACCTAAAGATATATAAGAACTTTCATTTTCGATTTTTTTGCGATTATTATAACTTACCCTATAGGAAGTTATAAAAGCAGCGTAAATTAACGTTGTCATAACATTGGTTTATTTTACGGCAGAATTGGCCCATCAAATCAGCTTCCTCCATTAATGATTAGAACTATGAAAATCCAAAATCAGGAATAATTAGGTGATTTTTCCTTCCAGTTTACGGCGAGGTGCGTGTATGGCGCGGTTGTGGTTATATTGCTGACGAACGCGACGACAAGGAATGCGTGAAACGCAGTGGCACGCACGACGTGCAGGTCCACTATTGTTCCTGCACAACCGACTTCTGCAACGGTGCGAGCGTGTCCTTGCCGTCCCTGCTCCTGGTGGCACCCGTTCTGGCCGCTACGGGCGTATTGGGCGCGCTGATGCGAGTGGCGTAACCGAATGTGGTGTGATTTTACTTCCTTTTGCAAAATTTCTGGCTCACTACATAAATCTTAGCGATGCATTAAAATCTTTGCGGTCAAATAAAGTATTCAATACTTCGGCTGGTTAGAAGTTTCCTCACGAAAGTCACATGTAATAGAACTAATATCGACTATCAAATTATCAAGACATTTTGATGTTTTTGAAAATATGACTTATACAGTTGTATCTTGAGTAATTTCGAATTGTTTACTTCGGGGAAAACTTTTAGTCAACTGTATATGTTTACTACCACTGTTATTATTTCAGATTGTTAAGTAATAAATAAGCAACTCAATTACTAATTAATTTATTACTACGTTCATCAAATTTGCTTCAAGTTAGTCACAAAACGTAACTGCCAAATACGAAAATAAATTTAAATGTCGTATATATTTTATGTCTTGATGTGCAGATTTTATTAATGCAATAGAAATAAATAAGCAATTAAAAGCTTCATTATAAATCGAACCATTATCGCATTGATAAGGTTATAATGTTAGTTTATGTTTTTGTGATCGGTTTCAAAAATATAAACAGCGATCAGTAATAATAAGTCAGACGACTATTAAAACTTCGAAACTAATATAGAGTTGCTTATATTTATTAAGTTAAAATTATTTATAGATATTGTTAAGCACATAATGTATGTTTTTCCACTTGTCATGTAAAACCAGAAAAAAAGGCGAGCAAACGAGAGCTCGTGTTTAAATTGAAAAACTAAAATCTATATTGACAATAGCACACAATCTAATAACTACTTTTTGAGAAAAAGATATAATAAATAGTAAATGTTACAATATATTATAAAAATAAAATATGAGAAAGTTTATAAGATTTTTCCTATAAGTTCCTGTGTTTTTCGACATGGTAGCAGTTTAACAAAATCTTCACTTATTTTATTTTTAAGTTTTTTTTGAAAACATAACCCATTAATGTTAATGAGTTATTAATTGTAAAAGGTAAAAATAATATGTAAATTTGTGAATGTTTGAAACTGAGTGAATATATGTATGATCGTACGCTTACTGACACAGCACGCGTTCTAAATTAATTAATTAAGTACGATGTATTTTAAAAATATATTATAGTTGTAATTAAATCATCTAAAGTAGACGCCATAAATACATGAAGCGTTTTTAATATTAGAATTTTAGGCCAGTATTAAACTTGTTATATAATTTATAAAAAAATATATCTTATTGTTATGTTTGAGTCATTTTCAAATACATTTAGAAAGTGCAGTTACGTTCTTTGCGAATGGTAATTATAAAATTTAATCCTAAAAACCAGAAATAAATTTTGAGAAACTAACATTATACCAGTTTCAGTTAAATCATAAAAGATATATCCTTAGACGTATAATTCAGTTTCAGAATTATTAGAAGTCTCCCAAATTGCTAAATCAAGATTCAATGATGCCTCACAATAACTAAACAACTTTAAATTAATTTAGCATATACGGGAGTCTACTAAGATTTATCTATATTGATCTGAAACAAAATATTTTGAAGGTTACCCAAAATGTTAGACCAAGACAAAAATTCAATGATGCCTCACAAAACAAAAACAACCTTGGACAATTTTTGGTTTTGTTTAACATGTGTGGTAGTCCTTCCAAATTAAATTGGAAATCTGAATTATCTATTATCTCAAATCACATTTACTATTATCATTTACACTAAACTTCAAAGACAAAAACTAAACTAAGGCTAAACAAGTATTAGATGGTACGGTGGAAACAAAAACTGATCCAAAATTAGAACATCTTGAATTTCTCCAGTATAAGAGGGAGGATTCAACAATACAAATTATCTATGAAAATACGTATTTCATAATTTTAGTTGCAAATTGTCTATGGGTCACCGGCAGTAATTAAAATCAATTTCATGTAATATTGCTTGAAAGCTAGACAAAGAAGCTTGTGACACACGGACAGAAAATCAAATTGCTATAAAATAGCAAAATGCAAAATTTAAAAATTTTGCTATAAAATGGCAAAATGCAAAATTTAAAAATTTGGATCATGTCCTAACGTGCAAATAAAATATTACCATTTAATAAGTTATGTTACACTTTTGCCATTCGCTTTGATACGTAATTGCATTGCTACTAAATTATAAAACTATCAGAAATGTTTAAATAAATAGATATAAATACTATATAACTGCCCCGGCGCTGTAGAAACATTGTATACTTCATCGTGGGCCTAAATGACTATGTACTTCATTAGAATAAAACATTGTGTACAAAGCACTAAAATATTCTTACAGAGGCCCCTGTATATCATTCATGTAAGATATAAAGAAGTAACGAGCCTAAAAAAATTCATAGATAATAAGTTACGCTTAATGTTAGTTAATTAAATTATCTGACAGGATAAGATAGGACCCACCGCTCCAAATACATATTTTAAAATAATTATACTGGCGGAGTATATTACCGGTGACAAATTGTATCCCAACTCAGGTTGAAAACAAATTGATAACAGAAAATTATTTTAATATTTTTTAAAACTGTTGCTGCGATCGGCTATATTACAAGTTCAACAAACCTTTATAAAAATCATTCCAAAACAAATTTTCTTCTAAAATTTTTTTTAATGTTACTCAAATGTGCCGCTTATCCTGCTCCCTCCCTTAACCACATATTATTTTTGCATGTTTGCAAACGTATAGAAAAGTATTGTATTAATGAATAAATAGTTTAACCTTTCTACTCGGATGCTATAGCAAAAAAATTCATATAGATCTCTGAATTCGCGATTGGAAAGGGTTAAATGAATGATTTCTTACTAAAAAGCGTATAAGTATTTTCAAATTTAACCCTCCCATAATATATTGGAAATATATTTAATCTGTTTTTGAAAACTAATAGGAAAATGCAATTAAAGTCCTGTAATCTTTTAGTACAATGATATGCCTAATATACAAAATGATATAAAACGCCACTTCGTGTGTAAACACGTGGTGCGCGCAAGAGCTTTATTAGTAAAAAATTTGAAAAAAATATATATTTTGAAAATGTTATGATATTTTACTAGTCGTATTTAATCGTAGTTAAGTTAAATAATAACAGAAATAACAGGTGTTACAAATATCCTAATGTTAAAACAATATTGTAATAGTATTTATTATCATAATATTCTGCTGGTTCGAAAACGCAAAAAAAATCTATTCTGAAAAAAATATGTCTTTGTATAATTTCGGGCCTTCAATGGGATAAATATATTAATTAGAGCGATAACAACAACACTCTTATTTCCATTGGTATAATGAGAGGTAAAGTAATGCATGTAAAAAACTACTCATAAAAAGCTCTGGCAAATTTTTATGTACTAATTTTCGCACGTTTCCATTAAATCAACATAATGTAACTAAATGTGTGCAAAAACTCAAAAACAATTACTAATATTTTTTTCCTAGTTATATGAATCATGGATATCGGGTTCTGTCGAGTTGGCTTCAGTAAATGGTAAATAAATTATTAAAGCTTTTAAAAATATAAATAAATAATAATAAAAATATAAAGTTAGAGCAAGTACGTAGAAATAAAATAGATTTTGCGAAGAAGCGCCAAAAATCTTTGTTTTGTTCAAATCTTTACCTACCATTTATAGTACCAATGTAAACAGTAAACACATACCTAGATGTATTATATTTAAATATCGCCATACAAGTATTATTTAATTAATACTACACATGTAAATATTTCTAACATAAGTTCACTGTTATTTGTTTCTTAAATAATCGCCTAAGACCTAATTATTTAACACTTATATTATAATGAGGAATAGATAAAATTTCTTAATATTTGGGACATGTGTCAGAGTATGATCTTCAATAAAATCTTCAAAATTAAACTACTTTTTGACATAATAAATACCAGTGTTGTCGCATACAGTAATATCTAATAAGCGATTTTTAAAAATTATAATATTATAAAGCAAAAAAAATCGCCATGGGCTCATGGATAAGTAAATAGGGTACTAACTTCTAGAAACGTTTTCTTTTGAACATAAGTAATAATTCTTACATATCAACTGTGAAAAAATAACTTTTGGACGGCAAAATTATTTTATTTTTAAACCGTCAGTGGTTGACAAATAATTATTTTAGCAGGATTTAAAAATATGCTACATGATGGAATTCTTCCACACATTTTTTTGAACATGATAACTTCTAAAACAACATTTTCAATGTTATTCATAAAGGTTTACAAAATTTACACAAAACAAAAGAATATTTAAAATCGCATTAAAATATTTTATTAGTTTATAAGTACGTCCAAACCCAACATCAGTCAGTTTGTTGGCTGATCAAAAAAAAATCTACAATAAAAATTATATTTGGGAATGAAAAATACTGATTTATTTGCGCTTGACGTAAATTTTAAAAATAGTTTTAATTCACAGTGCGATTGGAAACAAATGTTTTTTGCATCATATATAAAAACACTATAAAATTAATATCAACTATATATAAAATAGTGTAATTGGATTACAATTCTGTAATACGTTCACTTATATATGGATGTATATAAAAAATTATAAATATTTGAATTATTTAATTAATACGTTTCTACACTAAATGTGTGGCATCATTCAGCAAGTTTATACCAAGAAGAACAAAACATAAAAATTGTTATGTAACAAAACAATGAACACGAAATTTTTGAATTAAAATTAAAATATAAATCAAAAATGATTTTTAATAAGGTGACCATACGCCTACCTGTTTGGCCGGGACGATCCCGGATTTCTACCTTGTGTCCCGGGTTTTTCTTAAAGCAATATTTGTCCCGGATTGACCCGGTTTCTCGAAAATTAATAGGTAAATTAACAAAACTTATGAAAATAAACGAACAAGTGTAATTTTTTTGACGAAAAAAATTTTATACAAGGGTCAAAAACGAAAAAAAACATATAGATCAAAAAATATCATAGACAAAGAAGAATTATATATAATCGAACGATAACTGAAAGTCAGCAATTCTGATTTTAAAAAAATTGATTCATATAAAAAAAACTATTACAAACCCCCCTCCCACTCCAGCTTGAATTAGCATAACTAAAAATTGCCGTCCCGGTTTTGACTTAAAAAGATATGGTCACCTTATTTTTCACATTATTTAAATTTTGCCTGTTGTGTTGTGTTTTCTTATAACAATGCTTATTCCTTTTGTGTTGTTCCTGGCATAAACGTGCTGCATGATGACACACATATGGTGTCAAAACGTACAAAATAAATAAACCAAGTATTTATAATGTTTTATTTAAACAATTTGGTTGAACAAAACTCAAAAATGCGTTTTGACGTTGAATAAAAAATATAAGTATTATATAAAACTTAGAATGACAAATTACTACAGAAAACAAATTTGATGATTGGGGTCGACATACAAAACAGATTGGATTTGATTATCTAAACAGAAATAAATTTTGTGTTAATAAATCTTGATTATATTACGAACAAGTTTTTCATATTATGATTTAAAATATATTTTAGAATCGACGTTGAAAATAGCTTAGAACGTCGATTTAGTAACAAATTGTATTATAGAAATTATAATTGTATAGTGTTCCAATTTCATTACGTCGAGATAAATAATAATTAAGCGTAGATTTAAGAGCAACACAAGTTGCACCTCTATAGAAACATGAATTATTTGATACTGGAAAAGAGAAATTTCATCACCGACGTGGATGTTCAACAGTAAAGGAATGGCATATAAATTTTCCGCAAAAACATCTTCCAACATCAAATGCTGTTCATTCTACTAAAAATATCCAAAACTTTACGAATGTAACTCTTTTGTATGTATCAATTAATTATTGTACGCACCGATACTATTTCCGACTTAGAATTGGAAACGATTTTAGACGGTGTAAAATGCAAACGCTAATATTTCTTACATGTTTTATTAATTAAATTAAATAGAAACAGAATTATGGAGTTAGAACCATAACGCAAAGAATAGCTAATGTTAGATGTAGAAATTATTATTACAATATTTATGTATTTAAGTTAGGTGAAGAATTGTTGAAATTGTTAATAAATTAATTTAAAAAAGGCTATATTGTAGACGAAATAGAATGCACAGCTATTTTTTTCATGAGAATTCATTTCCATAGAAATATACTATAAAGTGCCGTTAGTTCTGTATAAAAACGTTTATTGTTTCTTTAGAGGACTAATCAAAGTGCATAATTAGAAAATACATGTAAATGCAAGAAATGATATGTCACTGATCAAAGCTATGAAATAAAACTATTATACTCAAATATTTTTTGTTTCGTAGAAATAATTTCAGCTCTTTTCAGATAATTATTAAATTACTGTATAATATAGTAGTGTAAGTGAATGGTGATGAAAACCTTTAAGCCTGGTTACAAATGAAAACAACCTTTTAATATCATTTATAAATAATTTCTGTGGATTTCACAATAATGCATATTCAACCATCTTAATAGAGACACAATAGTTACAAAGTTTAATCAGGTAGATGATATAATCCAGTTGATGATATGCTCTGTCCAGAATAGTAATTCTTTCGAAGTTATAAATTTTACAAAATTTGAAAAAAAAATAACATTCATTACATGCACCAATGCAGTGAACTACCAACAGAAATACTTCGATTGGTACACAGAATTCTAAGAAAATCGCCCTTGTAGTACCAAGTAGGTACACAGAATTGTAAAAAAAAATATATCCCAATTATATATATATATATATATATATATATAATATATATATATACAAAAATTTTGGATGTAATAATATAAAAAATTAGAGTTTATTATTGTATACAAAATCATGTTCTTCTTTTATTCGAATAGCAATCAGAACGTACGAGTTCTATGAGCTTCTTTGATCACATTTCTTCTGTGTATCTTTTTTAGAAGGAAACCCGAAAGTTGGTTTATCTCTATATTTGATTATTTATATTATATTTATATTGACGCAGCAATGCTGTAAAAGGCTATTAACTTTGAATAAAAAATGCTTTAAAATTGGATCATATTCATATATTATAATTATATTTTATTATTATATTTACAGATTTAAATCTTGATTAATTTATATTATTTAATTTAATAATATGGATATTATAATGATATTTATAATATTTAGAATTAGACTAATGAATATGATTGATGATGTATGATTGAAAATATGATGATCGATTGTTTTGTAATGATGTATGCGAGAATAACAACACTTATTTGATAATGTAATGATTTTGGAAACAACTTCCATAAGAAAATGATTGAAGGCAAAATAAATATTAGCCTTTAACCACCGATTGTTCCAAGACTTTGTTAGCAAAATAAAGATATAATCTTATCAATAGTAAATTTCCTACCTTGTGATTTTTCAGTATGTTACTGTCTTTGACCTAATAAGAAATGTCCTTCTCAATTTAACAATAACTTATTTATGTTAACCAAAAAGTGTAAGTGTAGTTTATGTAATCAATGACTTTTCACCTGTTTTTGTTTTTTTTTTTGGAATGTAGTAAATAATTCTAGTAACTTCTAGATATCTATAGCGCTTCTATCTTGAAAAGGAGTGAGCTGAAAAACAAAAAAGTACATTGAGAATTATTAATATATATTATATTATATATATATATATATATATATATATATATATAGAAAGAAAAAAGTTTGTGGCGTGTTTTGTAGTGTTAGTTGCAAATTCTCACAATCACAGGGGTAGCAGTAAATGCTCGATGAAAAGGTGACACTTTTAGCTTTATTATAATTTAGTAACCATCTAAATTGGTCAAGAGTAAGCAAGGGTAGTAATAATAATACTTCTCTTGCTAAATTTTTTTATTCTGATAATTTTAATGTGAAAAGATATACAATGCTTCTGTTCTAATTCAATAATTTAGAAGTTTGTTGTTATGAAAAAGTACAGCTAGATTAGTGTATCAGCACTGTCGACATTTGTATGGAACTAGTCCATTGACCAGAAAACGGTTTAAACCAATTACACCAATCTGGCTTTAAAAGGTAGCTTGATGTGTGGGAACTTCATGAGTTGAACGCGAAAAACTTGGTAGACGATTTAACACTTGCGATGCGCTGCTGAAAGTGTAATCAAAAATCAACACTTCTGAAACATTTCATAACTGGTGATGAAGAATAGATACATACAACAATGAAAGCAAAAAAAAATCATGGTTAAGTGATGAGTGACCAGAAGCGTTTACAAGTCAGAAATGACCATGAATAAGGTGATGCAGTAGTGAGACACTGACAAAGGTGGTGTTGTGGTGAGACTAGAAGGTAATCATCAATTGCAAGCTTCTTCCAATTGGTCAGACAATTAATCATCAACCCTAATCTAAATAATCTAGAAAATCACGCCCTGACAATTGAAAGAAAACGATCTGAATTAAAGAGATTATTGTCACCATCCTGACTACATGCCCAACCATGTACTTTTTGGTGACCTGCCAAAAGTTGCAAAAGCTTGGTGGAGAAAATTGGGATGCATACACCATATAGTTCAGAACTTCAGACAAAGCACCCTCTGACTAGCATTTGTTCAGATCTCTGCAGAATTCTCTTATGGAATTCAAATGATTTCAAAAGGAATCTGTAAAAAAGCTATAGATTCAATTTTTTGATCGAAACATTGAAGTTCTTACCGATGGCATCATGACTTTACCCAAAAAATGGTAATGGTAATGATCTAAGTGATGATGAGGGACCACAAGCGTTTACAAAGATAAATATGACACTGAAAAAGGTGATGTTATATTTGTGGTTGGACTGAAAGTGTAACCGTCAATCGAAGGCTACTTCTAGTTGGTCAGACAATTAATTCATCAACCCTAATGTAAATAACTAGAGAGATTACATAAAAAAATTTAAAGAAACGGCATAGATTGAAGATAATGTCATCTATCATGACAATGACCAACCATGTACTTTTTTGGTGACCTGCCAAAAGAAAACGGTTTGAATTGAAGATATTGTCTTCTATCATGACAATGCCCAAACATATGCTTTTTTAGTGACCTGCCAAAATAAAACGGCCTGAATTGAAGATATTGTCTTCTATCATGACAATGCCCAACCATATACTTTTCTGGTGACCTGCCAAAAGAAAACCGCCTGAATTGAAGATATTGTCTTCTATCATGACAATGCCCAACCATGTACTTCTTTGGTGACCTGCCAAAAGAAAATGGCCAGAATTGAAGATATTGCTTTCTATCATGACAATGCCCAACCATGTTCTTTTTTGATAACCTGCCAAAAGAAAACAGCCTGAATTGAAGATATTGTCTTCTATCATGACAATGCCCAACCATATACTTTTTTGGTGACCTGCCAAAAGAAAAACGCCTGAATTGAAGATATTGTCTTCTATCATGACAATGCCCAACCATGTACTTTTTTGGTGACCTGCCAAAAGAAAACGGGCGGAATTGAAGATATTGTCTTCGATCATGACAATGCCTAACCATGTACTTTTTTGGTGACATGCCAAAAGAAAACGGTCTAAATTGAAGATATTGTCTTCTATCAGGACAATGCCTAACCATGTAATGCCAAAAGAAAATGGAAAGAATTGAAGATATTGTCTTCTATCATGACGATGCCCAACCATGTACTTTTTTGGTGACCTGCCAAAACAAAATGGTCTTAATTGAAGATATTGTCTTTAATCAGGACAATGCCCAACCATGTAATGCCAAAAAAAATGGAAAGAATTGAAGATATTGTCTTCTATCATGACAATGCCTAACCATGTACTTTTTAGTGACCTGCTGAAAGTTGCAAATGCTGGAGATGGTGGAGAAATTTGGATGCATCCAGAGTATAGTTCAGACATCCTCTGCCTAAGAACTCTCTTAATGAAATTAAACTAATTTCAAAATAAGCCTGTAAAAAGCAATGAATTCAGTTTTTCAATAAGAAACCATTGAAGTTCTTTACCGATGAACATTCTCAATGGATAAAAATACAATAAATAAAATGGGGGTGCTGCCCTAGTGGCAGGTGTAGCTGAGTTAAACTCCAACTCGATTCAGGGAATAATAGTGTGAGAGATTTCCCATTGCCATTTCACACCGCAGTGCCCGAGCTGGGCTTATTTTCAATTGGAAACATATTTTTGATCTATTATTTTCAATTGAAAATGGACATCGCGCTGCTATCAATGATAATGGAGCATGTTTATTTTAAATAAGTTTACTTTCACACTATAAAAAATTCTGTTCAGTTTCAGTAAAAAAAACGCCAAGAACTTCATTCAGCCAATTATATATGTATAATATATACACAACATTATAATATGCAAGTGTTCAGAACTTACAAGATGTATTCAGATCAAGCCAAATTCAAATTCGACTATGTTTTAAAAT